AGCTCTACATCACTGTATGTGTGTAAGCTTTAACTGGTTTGGGAGATGGTTAGTGTTTTTGCATCTTTTCTGCATCATGTACTGTGTGTGTGTGTGTGTGTGTGTGTGTGTGTGTGTGTGTGTGCCTGTGTAGATGAGAAGCTGGCTTTTGGTCAGTATTTTACCAAATATTCTGTTCAGTCTGAGTGAAAGGACACTGATGTGACGCTGCAGTGTTTGAATCCGGGCTCAGCTTCATGTATTATTCAACTGCCTTTATAAAACACTAACTAATCTCGCAGATTAGCTGCCATAGTGATTTGGAGTTATTGGATAGAGGCACGTTATCACCAGGAATAGAAACCATCTATGGTCCCTTGGTCCAGAATGATTGACCTTCAATGTTTGTTCAGTCACATCAACATTACAAGGCTTGTCGTCATTATATATATATATATATATACATATATATATATATATATAATTTCTTTTTTTCTGTACCAAATAGGATGCATTCCACCTCCAGCCAATTGAGAAGGAAGATCAAGCAGCACAAGATCGAGAGGAGGAAGCCAGTGACAAACCTGAGAAAACGCTAAAGAAACGCCTCTCCAGAGGTGAGAGAAACAGAATTGTCTGAAACACTTTTGTAGTTAACATCAGTGATTTTAATAATAAAGTAGCTTATGGATTATAATTGAATATTGATTTTCCACAATTCCACAATTTGGAAAAATATTTTTTTTTTTTGTTCATTCAGGCACATATTGTTTGCCTGGTTTTTTTTCAGATAGGTGAGGCTGGCTCTTTAAGCTAATCTTAAGATATTTTTGTGTTAAATTCTACAATGCAGAGAGGTATTTCATTTGTTGTAGTGTTTGTTTTGTATAAATCTAATATTATTTCTTTCTGATTTTGAAATATGGCTTGTCAGTCTTTTTACACTTAGGTTTAGATAAGTCTCATTACAGTATATATATATTTTACATTCAAACCTCAGACAGTTTGAAGAGCTGATTTAAATATTTCAAGGTCAGTTTTGCATTTATAAATCCTCTTTTTTTCATGGTAATTTTATCCGACTTTTCTTTATTTGAATGTCCCTGATCCAGCTGCTGCTGCTAGATTTTAAATGTATTTATTTCATGAAGTGCTGATGAGATTGATGTACGTGACAGGGTGGGAAATATTTCCATTAAAACTTGAGATTTGAGTTTGAATCGCAAACACCTGGAGCCTCATTTAAAAACATTACTTCCTCCCTGACAGAAGTGCAGAAATATGTGATCAAAATGAGATCAACACCACTTTAATACATTATTTTATCCACCTTTGTATGAATATACAGTATATATTCATGATGTGAAATGTTAAAGCATGTTATATATATTCCTACTAATTAATAAATATTTTAATAATAACCATAATAAAATAACCTAAATACAACAGAATCTGAAATATAATGTACATTTCTAATCATAAAAATTAAAAAGTATCAAATTTAGTTTACAGTATCAAATAATTGGAACAATAAAACTTCTCCCTTGGGCACCTCTTTATAAATGACTAATACTGTATGTTGGTATGCTAGTGAGAATAACACCATTATTATACCACTAATGTCAAATATTACCATGTATTTATGGTAAATGTTGCAAATTCACCCTGATTAAGGATTTTTAGAATTTTTCAGATGGCTAAGTTGTGCTGTGTAAAGTCTGCCCCTAGTGGCAGCCTTTTTGCTTGGTTGATGTTGAAATGAATCCAAATGCTTTAGTGATAATTATAGGCCACTTCTTGTCACTCAGATAAATTACAGGCCTGTAATAATGATAGGCTTCAGCTCTTCATCAACAACATCCAGAACCACACGTTAGCTTTTTCTCCACTTTGACCAGGAGCCTTTTTTCTTCCTCCTCCTCCTTTTTAAATGATATCTCATTACTGCCTGATAATTGGCATGATTCACTTAATTGCGTCAAAGCTGAAGGTGTGAAGCAATTACCCAAAATCCCTCAGGCTTTGTAAGGTGTCTGCCATCCCTCTGTGGAGCAAAACTTCTGAGGCCGTTTATAGAACTTGAACAGCCACAGAGGTCAAGTCAGCCGCAGCGTCTCGCTAACGTTCTTCTCTCAGCATCCACATTACTTTTGTCATTAACAGGGTGTAAATACTCAGCTCTACAAGAAGTCACATGACTTGTTTTTCCTTCTTTCAGACTCTAGTCAAGACTACACTGATTCCACTGGAATAGATCTGCACCAGTTCCTAGTGAACACCCTAAAGAACAACCCCAGGTACACACCACAACAGCTACACATACACACAATTTACAGGGTAATTTAAACAAATCTTGGTAAGATTTTTGAATAATTTCTTGTTATGCTGTGATTTTTTTTTTCTAGCTTTTTTTGTTATTGCATAGTCCATAATAAAACTTTTGGCTTTTTCTTTTTTGGGGTTGGGCTAAATTTCTTTAGGCCCAGGATATTTTATCAATACTCTTTGCTCAGAGCAGTCAACATGTTCAATGCGACTACTGCACATTTACATCAATCGTGTTACATTTAGAACACGGTTAATTCTCCTTACTATGGATTTTTAATTATTTTTATAATTTTCCAGGGATCGAATCATGCTTCTGAAACTGGAACAGGACCTTCTGGAGTTCATCAGCAGTAACGGGTAAGCTGTATTCGTCTATATGCAAATGAGATGAAAGTTTTTTTTAACATTTTCTCAATGTATTGCTGGCTGTTTGTTCCTTGAACTGTACATCTGGATCACAGATGAGGTCAAAGTTTTATTTTCCATCGTCAGGACTCAGAAGAGGAAGTTTCCACCCATGACGGCGTACCACAGGATGCTGCTCCATCGGGTGGCTGCCTATTTTGGTATGGAACACAACGTGGACTCCAGTGGGAAGTCGGTGGTGATCAACAAAACCATCAACACCAGAATGTAAGTGTGCCTTCGGTGTGTGAGGATATTTCCCACAGCAACTGTGCTGTGGACATTGACTTTGTTGCATGTGTCCTCACGGCAGGCACAGATGATGTCAACCATGGGGTGGAGAAGAAAGAAACTAATTTATGTGTAAACAGGAAGGTTATCGGGAACCAAGACAAATGTTCCTATTATTTGTCTTCTGTCACCTAGTATTCCACAGTCAATGTCAACAGACAGTAATTTAGTAACAAAGGAATTCACCAAAACTTCTAAACACAGCCATACATTACATTTGGTTGAGAAATATAAATTCATTCATTAATCGTTCAGTGGTTTTATTTTTTAAAATGACTAGGGATACTGGTCAGCCAAAATGTTATAGAAAAAGATGCATCTAAGGCACTAACGGATAAAGAACATAAAGATATAGCCTAACCTTATTCCTGTATTTTAGTGCACAGATTTCTGATTTATTACAAGACAGGGCTTTAAACCTGTCCTGTCTTTGTCCTTTAGTCACTTTTCAACCAGAAAGTACAAATCTGCTTGAATAGTTTTTATTTCTGATACATCCCCAAGATGCTGTCCTGTATTTGCAGGTGCATGACCAAGTTATCTCTCAGCTTTTAGGACCCTCAGATGATGGTGTTGGTTTGAGGATGTCCACACTGTCCACATCCCTCTTAATTAATGTCAAACATTCCTCAGAAATCGTTTGTTGGATGAGTTTTCTGCCCTTCTCTTCATACAACATCTGTCGCTGTCAACATCTAAATCTGTGAATATCTACCCCACCCCCTCCTTCGTTTACCCGTAGACCCGATCAGAAATTCTCGGAGCACATCAAAGATGACAGGACGGACGATTTCCAGAAACTCTACATTCTAAAACGTGACAACTCCAGCTTTGATCGAGATGATGGCACGGTGGGTGTTTCTGTTCTTCTTCTCACCAAGCTGTCACTTTTCATTTCTGACATATTGGTAAGAGTGGGACAATCTGGCGTCCTGTACATGGCTGCTGCTTATAGGTGTGTGTGTGTGTGTGCGTGTGTTCTTTTGCGTGTGTGTGTGTGCACGTGCTCTGCAGAATCGGATGCGTTTGAAAGCTGACAAGAGGAGTAAATCAATGGAGGAGCGGGAGGAGGAGTACCAGCGAGCCAGAGAGCGGATATTTGCACATGATGTGAGAGGCTGTTAGCGTGGGTGTGTGGGTGTGTGGGGGGGGGGGGGGGGGAAGGGGGGGGGGGGGGGGGGGGGGGGGGGGGGGCAAAATTTTT